ATAAAAATTTTAAAACATTTGTCACTGAATTGTGATTTTAAAATTTTTGAATTGTCAAACAATGTTTCATGTGTGATATACAACTTTAAATTTTGGGTCACAAAGCAAATGAAAGTTAACTATGCTTCAAGATCACCCATATACGAGTACAGTAATTAAAAACATAGGGGAGGTTTTTACCTCGGAGAAAATATATTTGGCACAGCCGCATTCTCGACTTGAATCGAATATTTGAAAAAAATAATACATCTGCATTATGATTGAGTAACCACTATTACCTGTTTAATATTTAAAATCAATTGGCAAACTCTATTAAATAGCTTTTAACTAAAGAAAATTAGGTATCGTAGAGGCTGATTTTATACTATATGGGATGGGTTGCAACTGCAAGTAGAACAGGCCCCAGATCAATCATGACAATGAGGGGCTTAAACTTAGACAATTAATCATACATTGTATAGATATGATATACAGGCTGTCCCGTAAGTAAAACAGGGTAACTCCAGGAAATGGTTGTACGGGTCAAAATAAAACGAAAATCATCGAACAATAGCTTATTTTAAATACAAGATATATAAATTATTTTAATTTAAACTTTTTAGTGAGTTTAAAAACATGGTATTTTAAAATGTTTTTTATATATACAGAGTATCCTGTCATCAGTGTTACAAAGGTTTGTTGGTGTAAGTAAAAATTAAATGAATCGTGATGATGCATATAGGAGGTTCCAAGTCTATAAATTGGCATCCCAAAGAATGATTTTAAGTTTTTCAAAAATAACCATGTTTTGAAACACATACAGCAATTTTTCAACTACCTGTAAATGGATTTAAATAGATGATGTCATTTTCGTATTCCACATTAAATTTTTAATGAGAATACTATAATATGATGGAGGATCAATTGTAAAAACTCCATTGTAATAGTTCCAAAATAAAAATAATGTCTACGATAAAGATTTAAAAACATTAGTGTATTGCAATTTTCTAAACCCTGTATACAAGGGTTTCTACCCTGTGCCATTTTATAAGCTTTCCATATTCTACACTTTTGAGGATTAGATTTGCTTATGTTCGCTTTAATGGTTTGAAGACCCCAAAACATGGTGTATTCAGCAAAACTTGTATTTGTTTCAGTTTGAACAGTAAAAACAGTGAAAAGTTCTGTGTTTCTTCAGTATTTAAAACACTGAAACATAAGCAGATTTAAATTTCAATAGTGTAGTATATGGTTGGAAAGCTTATAACATGGCGCAGTTTTTAACGCATTTTACTATATTTTTTGGATATGATGAATGAAACATCACGATTTATGGTTCTAAAGGAGGGAAAATAAGGCTAAGCTAGTCAGGTTGCACATAGTTTTGCTTTATTTGACGACTAAAATCGCAATTTTTCAGGTATTTATCATTCGATCTTTTTAAATTTTGAGTAGTTTGATAGGAAATTGTAAATGTTAAAAAAGTGTGCTTATACATTCTAAACAAAATTAGCCATTTTGTATAAACATCAGTTATGAAATTAAAATGACGGCTATTTAGAAAAAAAATATTGTTTATGTTTGTTTAGTTACAAATATTCCATTGCTACTTTAAAACACATACTAAATTTAAAGAGTTTTTTAGATATCAAGTAAAACACTTAAAACAACTACGGCATACATCTCCCTAACAAGGTATAAAAAAATGTTATTCTTTAATTTTGTTTTATTTTGACCAATAAAACCATTTCCCGGAGTTTGGCTGTTTTACTTTCGAGACACTTGGTATGGACGAAGGAATATTATTGAAAATAAAATATACTACTAAATAAACCCATGTAATCTTCAGGAGAGAAACTTTATGTATATTTCCATCATAATAAATCACACAGAGCATTGCTGTCCTCTTTATAAAGTGGTTCAATGAAGACAACAGCTGGGTCCATCCAGGGCGCTCTTAGCGCTCCACATCGGTGAAATATTGTACCTCCCTCTCCCAACGTGAAATTGTTGCTTGCATATTACAAACAGCACTTATAGCACAGAAAATTGATATTTTTAATATCGCTATGGGCTGCCGTGCGATCCATCTAGTACTAAAGTATTGAAGAACCGTCGGACACCTGAACTACGATTATTTTAAGTTTTCCTCTTAAAAGTAATCAAAGTAACTCCCTGAATAAAAAAAATTTGGATGATTTTTGAAGGAAATAACTTTTTTGTGTCAAAGAGTGATGAAGTGTTAACAGTCAAAAATGTTTTTCTAAAGATATTACATTTGCAGTGATTTTGTGTACGTGTGTATTTAGCAAGCATTCTTAAAATTGTGTAAGGGTGATTCCACTGTTATTGCCTGACGTCTAACTGATTCTGATGTTAGTGAATTAACAGCAAATGAATACAACCTGCTGCAGCAAACCTGCATCTCATTCAATAAAGAATATATCAAACGCAGCCCATAACACGTTATTTACGGGTGTTTTAGCAACTAACATTCAATGTCTGAAACAGTTAGGGTTGAAGTAGTATGAAATGATAATATTGTAAATGGTTTATACAAAGCCATATATCAAGAGAACTATAAATATTTTTAATAAAAAAAAACCACCTGTTACCAATTTTTTCTATTAAAAACAACTTATTTGTGTAAGGCAGTCACAGAATGCGCTAGTTGATGAGTCATCACAATATTGCTATAGCTCACAATAAGTCGTTTCATCAGTTTGACTTAGTAAAACGTTTTATATTCGATATAGGCTAAATCAGTAATTTATACCAGCACAATCTATCAGTGTCATCTCCTACGATGGTTTTGGCAAGAAAACAGACTTCAACTTTAACATGGGGATGACATGTATTGATGTATCAATAGTCAAAGGTTGTAGCCTACTTAAAAATTTTAAAAACCTAATTATAAGATTTCCAGGTTTACTGGCCTCCCCATTGTGAGACTGGATTGGAATTTTTGTTTTCAAACAAAAAATGGTAAATATATTTAAAATCTTGTGGATATGTCTAATGAAATAGTATACCTAGGGCCAAAAATGAGGTTTTGCATCTCTCGACCGTTTTAAGTTCGAGACGAAGTCGAGAACTTAAAAACTATCTCGAGCCGGCAAAACCATTTCGGTCCGTGGTACGAACGCTATTTTTCACCACACTATTACCCTATTACCACTATTTACCATAATAATAATGCATACTGATAGTCAACACAACTACAACTTTACGGTTATGTAAAGAAATAATTTGAGGTATCAGCAAAAATAATAGTAAATAGTTGCTAGGCAACGGTGAAAATAAAACAATAATTCTATTGCAATGCTATTGATACTGATTGGGTATTGAATATGCTTTCATGTTTTAAGTAAGTAGTGGACAGCTGATTTTGCAACCCTAGGGATGTAAAAACTTGCTCGGTTCCCAAAATAACGATGACAGCTGGAATGACCAGCAAAACGTAACTTTCAGCCACCAATTAACGTATGTAAAACAGCTAAAAAACAGCATAGTGTGGTGAAAAACATATTTATCCCTAGATACCATAAGTAAAACACGGGCAAAACCAGCTAATTCGTCCATTTAAAATGAACACCTCCAATAACTGTATACAACGCAAATGTATACTTCGTAAAAAAAAACAAAAAAAAAACGTGTCATACACGACCAACAAAGCTTTAAAGTGGTTCAACAACACACGGATCGTGGCAAAGTGCATGTTGTATACTCGGAGCAAACTAAACATGAAAATATAGATGTGCGATCGACAACCGGGTATGCAAAGCAGCCGATATGTTTGTGCAACTAAATGTGTTTATCGCAGAGAACATCCCTTGTTGGATTTGGCTCTGTCGAATCAGGCGGAAAGCGCTGATATGAGTTTTATTTGTACGTGGATTTCACAGCAAGATTCAACCAAACAATTCACCCCGTGGGAAAAAAATATTCATTTGCTTTTTGTTTTTTACGGATATTTGTATGCATGATAATGCATTTATATTTTTTTCGCGTTACCAAACTACCCATAGGGTCAGGAGTTTATATGCATAGGTTGGTTTCTGTACTCTTACAAAACCTTAATAGTATATTTCGTACCTAGGGCTGAAAATTAAGTTTTCCGGCTCGAGATAGTTTTTAAGCTCGAGACGAAGTCAAGAACTTAAAACGATCGAGAGCTGCAAAACCTTTTCGGTCCGTGGTACGAACGCTATTTTTCACCACACTATACCACTATTACCACTATTTACCACAATAATAATGTACACCGATAGTCAACACAACAACAACTTTAAGGTTATGTGAAGAAATAATTTGAGGAATCAGCAAAAATAATAATAAACAGTTGGCAGCGGTGAAAATTCTATTGCAATACTATGGATACTAATTATGTATTTAATACGCATTCATGTTTTAAGAAAGAAAGCGGACAGTTGATTTTGCGGCCCTAGGGATGTAAAAACCTGCTCGGTCCCCAAATGACGATGACACCTGGCATGGCCAGCAAAACGTAGCTTTCAGCCCCCAAACAGCTAAAAACATCATAGTGTGGTGAAAAATAACTTATGGTTCTTGGTATTTTGATTTGCAAAAATACACGTATTCGAGTTTTTATGATGATTAGTTTCAATGAAAAAAAAAACAATTGAGAAGTTACAATGTATACAATGTAGTTGATGTAGCTCATCCCTGAACTGGTAACCTACTATATACACAGAGAAGTAAGGTACAGAGGAAATACCCTTATGGGACAATCACGCCCTTTCAGATCTGGTATGTTGTGCAGGAAATATACTGTTTTGTGACGGGCAAGGAAGAGCCCGAACTAAACTGTGGGCAATGTGCTGGAATTTCTATCTCACAGGTGGAATTTTTATTCACATGATAGCGTAGCAGTCAGTGTTGGACTTTGCTCTAGACACCAGCACTAGTGCAAGACACCACTTAAATTTATCATGGAGTGTATCTCTGTTCCTTAATTCTCTGTGGGCTATAATACTTTAAACTAACCCAACCTAACCTACCTTTAAGACCTCGACGATTTCCGGTGAAAACTGCATAAACCCACTTGCGGCCATTCTCCGATAGATTCTATCAACGAATATCCCTGCTCGGATGGCCTGGGCGACTGACCGAAACTTGGGCTTCTCCTCCTTCCGACACCTCGTAGGTGCCAGCTGTCTCGTAAAGGTGGAGGTGAGCCATTCTCGTACTTCGGCGGGAACCGCGTCCGGCTGCACCTCGGACAGCTCGTCATCCTCGTCCGCCAACCTCCTGTAACCAACGGACCTTAGTTACCAAGGGAAGACATGCTGGGGAGCCATGCCACGATATCGAACAACAAAAGGGAAATGCAATCGGTGTTCTACTATTAGTCTATGCGTCGCACGTTCATCTTTAAGTATTGGTGGTATAGTAGTTATAGTAGATAGTGGTGGGTGCGCATCTGTGCGTAAACCTTATATCTTGATGCATCATAGTTAAAATAATTTAAGGGATTTGGCTTATGAGGATTTTTTTAGATTGTAAATTATTAATATACATATCGGGGCTTTGGTCATGTTAATATTTTCCAAGTTATTCAACTTAGACTTTAACTTCCCAAAAACACTTAAAAATGAACGTGTACCTAATTTTTCAATAGAAAATTGACGAAGAGTCTAAAGTGTAAATAACATCTCACGATTAGATTCAATAAAAAGGCAGGACGCTTATAGTTCAGGAATGTATTAATGCAATGCGATACTGTAAAGATGCTCCACAATGAATCCACTATTTCTCCTACTATGCATACTAATATATTATAAAAATGGACAGTAAAAACTATAGATTAGTATTTTTTCCAGAAAATCAAGAATCAATTTTCCACAATTTTATAGATCTAGGGTTAAGCATATTTCATCCCGGTAAAATTCTTAAGTACATAGTTTTGTTTATTCCTTGCAGAAAAAAACATTTCGTTCGCATTTCATGTGCTGTGTACCCATTAGCACGCATAAACACAGTCCAAACACTGGTTTAACGAATATTTCTCTTATTACATAAGAGGAAAAGAAGGCAAAAAATGTAGCACGGAAAGTTGACTGGAAAATTATCTAACCACGAGCATACGCATTTTGCTGACATGGACTGAAGTAAAAGTACTGTGAAAATCTCAAAGTTTTAAGGATAATATTAAGTTTACGACGTTAAATTACGTCATTAATATATTTTTTAGAAAAAGAGAAGCCTACTATTAGCACACATGAGAGGCGCTAATGGAAGAGGTGCGCCTAATATAATATTTCCATATATTATTGCGTGTTTCCTAATATTTTCCATTAGGAAAATATTATAATACAATGGAATCCAAGCAATAATGCTAACATTAATCAATACACCGAATTTAATAAACATTGGCGTTGCTGAAATAGTTTTGCAATACCTTAAAAAAGATTAAAAACATATATAGTATGGCTTTAAATGAAGAGGAATCTTTTAGGTCAGTTTTCTTGCCTAAAATGTTAAATCATCTAAATTGGTCATCTTCTGCTAAAAGTGGGCTCCAAACCATTGAATCTTAATATTATCGAATGGCTAATTGCTTTTGGTGATTGCCAGGATTGAGCTTGGGCTTCCACAACATGAGGCAATCGCTTTAATGGACAAGTCTATTTCAATTAGAGAAAAGATGACACTATTTTAAACTTTACTCATAATGAAAGACATGGAAAGATAAAAAAGTAACAAAAATATCCTTATGGTTATCCGTTGGAACTTTCTATGATGTTACCGTAATATTTTAACGTGCTAGCAATAGGGTAATATATGATGCACGTGTAGGTAGTTCAAATGGGCGGGCTTTAATTGCGCCAACTAATCTGAGTCAGGTAGTCGGGTATTGCGCCAACTACTCCAGGGAGCCACCCGATACGTTCATTAGCTGCGCCAAGTGGCGGCCCTCTTTGACGGTATAATTCAGTAGGTTAGGTTCGGTAGGACATGTAAGCAAGGATATTTGTTCTGTCGGAAACTCCCCACTTAAGCATAGCGCAACTAAAGAACATTTTTGAAACTCTCTGAGGGCTTGGCGTAGTTAAGGAACTATTTTGTGCAATTAAAATCCTAACCAATTAAAATATATGAAAAAAATAAAATAGAGAATGGAACAAAATAATTTCTAGACAACTGTTGTCAATGTTTAATCACACTTACTTGTATGCCACCAATTTTCAGGATCAGCCGTTGCCAGTCTTTACGAATATAATTAGCTGAGTAAAGCAAGTGAAAGAGCGTGACTGAATTTAAATTATAATGCATTCCACAGTTAATGATGCTGATGTATCATTTACAACGAGTTGTCTGCAGATTAAACTCAATTAAAATGTTTTTATGAACAAGAAAATTCTTATTACAGTATCACACTCTGTGAGATGCTTAACTCAATAAAATTTAATGTAAAAAAAAACACAAGAGAAAAATAAAATAAAAATTAAACAATCGAATATCTGAATCGCTGTAGGGAAACAGACATCTAGCCTTAGGTGTTCTGGAGTATATATTACACACTTTTTATACTATTATAAAACCTTTTTATGAAGTATACAACTGACTACAAAAGGCTTATTAAGGTGATAATGTCGTGTAATTTCACTGTGACAAAAAAGCAAACAATCTCTCCCTAACCACATCAGAGGTTTCCTTTGGACGTAAACAAAGGTTGAAAAATGAAGCAAAGGTTTGAATATGGCAAAACATGAAAAAAGTAAATAATCACACGGATATAGTAAACGGGTGCACAATAGTAATGATGATGAAACATTTAAATATTATTAAGACAGCATTGAGTATGTGTAACGATTTTCTTTTATTCTACTGCACTGACTTAAAGTAGGTAATTAAGAAATTCGTTACACATGTCACTTCATCGAGCTATAGCCAGATCATGGACTTTTGTTTGCTTGTGTAAATTTTGCAGTGTATTAGAATGGTTAAAAAAATCTGTTGGCTCAAACAGAAAAAATGGATTTATTTTTAAACATGCATCTCAGTGTTTTTGGTAAATGCAATACACATAAGGTTCCCAAATAACTTTGTTTCGTGTTTACTAAGAAGTTTGATCCATATATACTTAAGAAATTAAGTTCGTATATTTTAGGTTTAAAGTGGATTCGTTACCATTGTTGAAGATGAGATTACATAGTATATCTTATTTATTTACAGTTAAGAAACTTTCAATGTCGTAGGTACCTAAAGTCGTAGACAGTTTTGTGGTTTTTAAATTAAAACAGTTAATCCAACAATGCCAAAGGCTGGTTTATTATAAGTAATTTAACAACATTACAAATTACCATGGCTAAAATCGAAATTAATTAGCCTGCTAATGTACAATGTGTCTTTCATGTAAAGTAAAAATGAGTATATTATGTAGATAAAGAAGAGTACTAAAAAAATAATACAGGGTGTCCCGGAACTCTATGCCAACATTTTAGGGCATTGTTCCTGAGTAAGAAACATATCTAAATACCATATATTAATACCATAAATACCATATTTAAATTGTCCGGAAGTCCTTAGTTACTCACACAGCGGCAATTTTGTTTTTTAACTTATTAATTTTTCTAGAGAATGGTTTAATATACGAAATTGAAACTTTGCACAAACATTTATGACAACTAGACAAAGCTAAAAAAAATATGACAATTTTTCAAATTCATAAAACAAAATGGTGGCCATTTTAAATGTTGTTTCTTAAATAACTCAAAAACCATTGATTTTACAAATATTTTACAAGGTTAACCTTTATAAGGCGATTCTATTACAAATTGATAGACACCTTATTTTTAAGACTGGACGAATAATAACTGAGATATGGCAGCTTTAAGACGTGACCGCTGGAGGTTAGTTGAACGCATGCTGGATGTGGTCACGTATCACTAAAACTGCCGTATTCAAGTTAATATTCGACCAATCTTAAAAAATAAGGTGTCAATCGATTTGGAATAAAATTGCCTTAAAAGTTAATCAAATTAATTCTTCAACTAATTAAATTAATCAATTCTTGTAAAATCAACGGTTTTGAGTTATTTAAGAAACACAATTGTAAATGGTTCATGATGGTTCATTTTGGTTCATGAATTTGAACAATTGTCATAGTTTTTGGCAGCTTTGTCTAGTTATCATAAATGTTTAGGCAAAGTTTAAATTTCGTACGTTAAACTATTATTTAGAATAAAATTAATAAGTGAAAAAAAAAAAACAAAATGACGGCTGTGTAAGTAAATAAGGACTCAGGACAATGTAAATATGGTATTTACATATCTATATATATAAAGCCAAAAGTACCCATGAACTTTTGAGAAAACTACAACGGAAAGTAAATAAAAGAAACGTCTTATAACACTTAAAACATATATTTACGCTTATACTGTTACTCACAAGACGGTAAATATACAAAAAAGGTGGTAAGTGGTGATCGATTTCGATTGGACACTCCAATCATCATCAGACCCAATAGGCGAATGACAAGAATCTTGAATGGCGTCCCTACTTATACCCTATTGGCTACCGGAAGCACCGGCCAATACATTTTTATAAGTACAACTGGAATCAAAATGTATTTGTTCATTAATCAACTTAGTTCTATCTTTACATTTTTCCTTATAAATATACAATTCTTCCCAAGCATTCATTATATATCCTTTCTTACAATTCTTTAAAATATCTAGACTATCCTCCATTTTTCCTAGTGAGTGCCCATTTTGTAACAGGTGTTGTGCGACATTTGATCTTTCCGGTTTGTTGTTCCTCCATGCAGATATGTGGTTTTTGAAGCGGTTAACGAAGTTCACAGTCTGTCCAATGTAGAAGCTATCACAATCGTTACAATTGATTTTATATATGCCTGAAGTGTCGAATTTGTTACAATCTTCTATTTTTGGATGCAGTATTTTACTCATGGTGTTCTGAGTCCTGTAGGCTATTGAAACTCCGTATTTCTTGAATCTGTTAGCAGTCCTTTGTGTTGTAGTCCCCGTGTAGCTAAATGTGATATATCTAGTGTTTTTCTCTTTTATCTCTTCTAATGTTGTTCTGCTGTGTAGTGTATTCTGTCTATCGATTTTCCTCCTCGTCTTCCTTGCGATGTCCTCTATCGTCTTGGTCCGAAATCCATTCACTTGAGCGATCTTCTTAATGGTGTCCAGTTCTTTTTTCCTATTGGCTTGGCTAAGTGGGATCTTATAGGCTCGGTACATCATAGATCTAAAGGCTGCGGTCTTGTGGATTGTCGGATG